CAGCAGTGACGAATATACTTGGAAGAAGTTTCACGCAACCCACAAGCTTTTGCAATATTCATATCGCACATGAACCAGAGCCTTCTTATGCCTATGCATGCGCTATTTACTACTTTGCAGCCCACTAGCTCGTAGGTCTTCCTCTTTGCCCAGCCATCATGCCAGGGCACCTTGGCATTGTTGACGACTACTTCTTCAGCGTCAACCAGGATGACCAGAGGCAGATGATTCACACGTTATCACCCTTCCAATTCGCACTCACACCCGGACTGTCAATTCTTTAGGAACCCCCAGGTTCAGTATCCAGAAGTGGCACTAAAAAATCAAGAACATTCTCTAAAGAATCAAAAGCCAGATTGCATCTGCTAAAGAATTGGAGACTTGAAGGAAAAGCTCAAAAGGCCTAAAGAATTGACAGTCCGAGTTCGAGTGGAACAAAGTCGACTCATGCATCTTCTTCTTGATGCTTGCTTATGGATGATCCTGGTATGGTCTCTGCATCTGTGTGTTGAGCCCATGCTAGGATTTGCAAATCTGGCTTTGCAAAGACTCTTTTCTCTAAAAAATCCACCCCATTCTCGAGCTAACGCTCGACAACCAAAGTCTCTAATAAATCAACCCCCTCTTGGCGTTATAGAGAATGGGAACCCCCAGGTTCCAGTTGTAGACTGGCACTGTATACGTTCGTCCGTTTTTGTTTTTATGACAACCCGGGTTGTCTGATTTTTTAGAGGAAATTCGCACAGGGATCACACGTTATTGTTCAGTCTGCAGTGCAGCATGTGGTGATGCAATTGTTGAGATGGCAAAGACAGCACGCTGGCTAGCATCATAGCTGAAGTGGGTAAGCCAGCACGCTGGCTGCCATTGTCCAGATGGCAAAGCCAGCATGCTGGCTGCCATCATAGTTGAAGTGGGTATGAGCCAGCACGCTGGCTACCATCATAGTTGAAGTGGGTAAGCCAGCACGCTGGCTGCCATTGTTGAGATGGCAAAGCCAGCACGCTGGCTGCCATCATAGTTGAAGTGGGTAAGCCAGCACGCTGGCTGCCATTGTCCCCTTACCAGCAGCCCAAATGCTCACGACGATGAGCTGGGCTGTCACCGCTTGGCCGCCGGTGGGGGGTTTGGGAGGCCGCATCACACACAGACACCCACACACTCCCTCAACTTACACGAACACACACATACGCAGACTCATTTCCATACGGACATAGACACACGCACAGAAACCCACACACTACCTCAACTCACTCGACTTCACACTTCTCACTGCACACTTACCGGATAACTCGCACTCTGACTTCCTACGTGATGAAAAATGCTTTCGGGCCACTCGTCGTCTAGTTTGACAAATGTGAGTGTAAGGTATGACGTTCACATTCACATGTCCGCCGAGTCAGATTAGCCCTTCAAGCTTTGGTGCCTGTGCGTTCGCTGAGTCTTCGGGCAAACTCGCCCTCGTGGGAAGCTCTATCCGGTGTGAACGGCAGCCAACAGCACGCGCACGACAAAGCTCAAGAAAGGGCGCTGCAGGCAGGAACGGGGTCCAACAGTCTAGAGTCTGGGCCCACCCTTGGGGTCCGTGTCTGCGAGGCTCTTCAGGGCATAGAGACTGTCACTGAGTTGTCTCTGACGAGCCATTGCAAAGGAATCAAGGAAAGCTGCGGAAAAAACATCATAAAGCCGTTCTCGGGCAGCCAGGCGAATGTAGAAAGTGTGGCCAGGGCTCAGGAAAGCACCTGCCCAGGACGTTGCAGAGCTGCCGCTGCAAGGCTGCGCAGGGACATCAATGCGTCTTTTCATGGTGAAGTTAGCAAGGCGATGAGCGCGAGCCTTCATCAACCAGGCTTGAGCGCTGCTCTGACATGAAGACTGCATGAATGTGCCGACTTGTGAAACGAAGGAAGCCAATCAACTTCTGTGACCAGCAAAGCAGGGAACCACCGGCAAGGCAGGCCCACTGAAGGGAGGACCCGGGACAAACCTCCGTATCAAAAGGCTCCACCTCATAGCAATTGATGAGGGAGGGTGAAACATCTGTACTCCGAGGCACCTGCGCAAAGCCGCCAGTGAGGGTCGAAGCCAGGAGAGCCCGTACGAAGAGCTAGGCAAGGCGCCGTAGCACAGCACGGGCATTCTCTCGCGGCAGGGTGAGGCCCAAGGTTTGGAGGAGCCGCTCACACTCTGTCCCAGCAGTCTCATTGGAACGCGCCGCGACAGCGGTAGCCAGCTCCTTCCAGGTCTTCATGGCAGTGGGGGCCCAGCCCACACCACAGGCCTCCACCACGAGGGGAATGAACTGTAAGCCCTCAGCGGCGCACGTGGCAAGGGTCTGTTGGTGGGAACGTTTGCGGGCCTCATACTCAGAGGCGGCTAGCTGTCCGTCAGCAGCGACCAGCCCCCTGCCACGGCCAGGTCGAAGGCGGCAGGCCCCAAGAGATGCCAGGCGCCCACCCAAACGTCAGCCGGTCTCCTCCCAGGGCCAGATGGGCTCCCGTCTTCGGGCATACCACCATCTTCGGGGCGAGGCGGAAGTAAGCCGGGCTTTTCAACTTCAGTATTACGCAGCCCTGCTGCTTGGGCGCGGGCTGCCAGGACGGCCCGGAGGCGGTGATGGCGTTGCAACTCCGTCGCACAAGGGGCAAGGGATGTCCTGGGTGCCAACAGGCAGGCGGAGGCGAAGATGGACCATGATCTTGAAGAGGGGGGGTGGGAAATTGAGGCCTAGAGCTTCGGAGGTGTGGAGCCACGCACCCGCACCAGGCTCTTGGAGCAGGTGGAGGTGAGCGCGGAAAGCTTCCCGTGAGGGTCGGGGCTGGCTAACCGGGCCACCACGCTCCGGTCCAGCGCCTGGGACAGACAGCTGTTGCTAGCTGAAGAGGAGGGAAGGGCATTGGTCGGCTGGTCCAGAGGAGGCCGCTCGGAGCGCAGGCTGCAACGCCAAGGCGAAGGAGGGGACCTAAGGGGTCTCCTTGTTGCGCGCCAGCTTCAGAGGTGAGGGGCTCCTTGCGAAAAAGGAGGCAGCTGTGGCGGCCATAACACCAGTCAGCCCAAGCAGCCAGTGCGGGGAGTCGGAGGCGGACTTCAGGAAGGAGCAGCCCGGTCCACTGTGTTGAAGGCATTGTTGAAGTCCACCTTCAAGAAGACGTCAGTGGCATGGCCACTGCGGCGTTGCACCCATTGCCGGGCAGTGTGCACAGTCGCCTTGACCCCAAGAGGGACAGCCACGCCCACTTGTAAGGGGCAGAGCCACTCCCGCGCAGGCTCCGGAAAGCAGCACAAAGACACTTGGAGGTCAGCCGCCGGAGGGTTTCGCCGACAGCGCTGGGTCGGACAGGACATCCTCAGCTCCCTTGGGCAAGGCATGGAGGGTGGCACCGGCAAGGTGGGGAGCCAGCTCGGCAGGCCCTTCCCCTGGAGCTAAGAGCTGCACCACAGCACAGAGTTGAGTCACCACTTCGTCCGCATGTGCAGTGCCCGAAGCTTGCCGAAGATGGTCACCACGAAGCCCAGTAGGCCCAGGGGCGCTGCTCCTGCTCCACGTTTGGATGGCCCTTCGCAGGTGCTCACCGGTAATGTCGGGGACGGCTGCTTGGTTGGGAGGTCCAAGGGGGACCAAGGCGGGGCGGGCAGGGCCAGCGCGGGGATGCTTCTCGCGAAGCTTCTGCAAGACCCCGGCGTTTTTGGAAAGGAGAGGGGGGGTGGCGAGGGCCGCGCAAGCCCTGGAAAGTTCCCCGTCAGAGGCGAGGGCGCAGCACCGGGCAGCAACGGCTGGGTCAAAGTGGTCCTCGTCGGAGGGGGGCGGAGGGGGAGGGCGGCGGGCATGGTAAGCTTCCAAAAGTTCGTCCCTCCCCCCTGCCAGCCAGCGGCTGCAGCGTCGGGCTGTGAACCGCGCCGCCTGCACCCGCCGAAGGGCACCACCACGTGGAGCAGGGCGCAGGACGGCCTTGGGCAGCATCAATAGTTCTCGCCATGCGGCAAGGGTATTGTGATGGGCCACGGCCCCCAAAGCTCGGGCAAGGCATTGAGCCCAAAGTCCTCTGGCGGCCTTGGGCACATGGCGGAGGACAGGGCTGACAGGAAGAGAGCGGGCCCCCGCCATCGGCTACTGCAGGGGAGCCGCCAGCCGCAGCCACACCACGTGCCAGGGGCCGGCGCCGAGGGTGCGACCCATTGTAGCGGGTGGCAACAAACAACCCGCAAACGGAGCAAGGCTCCAGGTTCTGGGCGGCAGAGTATGCCGCTGGTACTGCCCCTCGTAAGGTCCCGGCCGCATGGTCATCCAAGTGGGGGCGCATAGCCGAATGGGATGCCCAGCCTCGAGCGGAGGATGCATCGGCGCAAGGGCACCCATCCACAGGGCAGAACACCCGCGGAGGCCGTGGCCCCCGAGCTGGCGATCGCTCCCAGCCCGAACCCCCCGAAGCGGCCACCCGGACCAGCGACGGGTTGTTGCTCGGCGAGGTGGGCGGGAGGGGCGACCCGGCCAGCACAGCCAACCGAGGAGGCACCAGCCACAGCAGCGCCATAGCCAGACCATGCGCGCCCCAGGCCCAGAACCACCACGCGTCAGCACCGGCAAGGGCCAGCGCACCAGAGGTCGAACCGACGTGGGTCCAGCCCCCTGCCAGGACCGACGCACAGCGGTCCCGGGTCCCTGGAGGCCAGCGGGTGAAACGAAATAAGGAAGGGCAACTCTATGTGAAATTGCATTTAGGGAGGAGGAAACTTGTGTGAAGCAGAATTTGTTCCAAAATTCACAGAACGCACGCATGCATAGCCCAACATCGAGCCCGATGTTACAAAGGTGTTCCTATAGCTTTCTCACAGCTGCTTGTGTATAAAGTTTGCTAACCGCTAACCCAATAAGAGTTGTTTTGCCCGTGGTGACGAAGGTGACCTTGAAGGCCGTTGAGGTCTGAGTTTCAGTCGCAACGCGCACAAACACTCAACACGCAGCTTACATGCGCTTACACGGACGACGATGATGACATCGCCTCCTGGAGCGCTGTGCCTGGGATGCCCACTTGCCGACGTGTTTTGACCTCAGCGTTTTCGACAACATCCTTCTGCTAAGCTGCTAAGTGGAAGGCGGTGAGTCACTGTGATATTCAACAATCATGCTGCATTAGCATTAAAATCGTTAAAAATATCTTGAAATATGGATCGATTGGATGCAAAATCCTTGGGTAGGAACCACATCAATGGGATTTAGCAAAGCCGAAACAGTTGCTGTTGAAATGCCCCCTGCAAGAACATCGCGCAACACCTCACAAGGAGTGAGCAGCCATCATGCCTGAGGGTGCAATCTCACAAGCCGGCCTCTGGAAACTCAAGGGCACCAGGCAAAACCATCTTTCTGAGCCACAAATGCCAAAAAATACAACATCAAAGATCATTTTGTCGAGTCTGAGATCAAGCAACAACCTGTGAAAAACTTGCAGTACTACGCATAGCGAATCGGATTCGCGCAACATATAAATGATGATGATTATTTGTATTATCATGGTGATCAGTTTCAATTATCCTTGTCAGTCCAGTGATTATCATTCCCTTTCCTGGCCCTTGTATTTGTCTCTGCTTCATTTTCACCCATGCGGCTTTCTTTGAGCTGCAAAGGAATGCAACCTGAGCGTGGCCCTTCCAAACCTTTGTCAACCCACAACTCCTCACTCCTTTTTTGCATCCTGACACAAACCACTGGGATGTGCCAAAACAATCGAACCTGTCTTGCATAGCATTCAAAAGAATGTCCTTGTCCTTCGTGTCCACCACGACAGCTCGGCACTGGGAGTATGCAAAAACTCCTCCTTAGGATGTGGTACAATCGACACTTCCACCCAAACGTTTTCTGCAGAGAATCCCCCAAAGCAAAAATTGGTATTGTCCATCACCCCACCAAGAGTGGAGGTGAGTTGCGTGATCCTTCCTCTTCAGTGCGAACCCGTGACTGCCCTTTGGAAAGTCCATGCCGAGGACCACACCGAATATTGAAACGGTTGCAATGCTGTGAAGAGTAGTCCAGGCATTCCCAAACCACAAGATTGACACCACAACGGACAGAAACTTCCTGAAGCAGAAAAGGGCTAAAGAATATTGAAAGCATTCGCTGGAAGCAAAATCATTTGAAGTGCACATTGACATACCAGCAACAAAGCCAAACAGACTCAATGGAATTGTTCGCAATTATCCAGGTTACACCCACCCACCCGCAAGAATTTGCACTGAATTCGGAATGATTGATGCATCCTTGACGTGATTGATGTAGCGTCGTTGTCTTATGCTACAGGAAGTACGCTTAGGTTCTGGTGGCAAATCAGGCCAGGTTCACACGTACTGGATGTTGCAATTGAGCAAGAACTTAGGTGATGCCCCGTTCGCGTTCAAAAGGTATTACATAACACCTTTGTCCCTCTTGACTTGGCCAACACAGAGAGAATATGATACTGAAAGGATCTGAAAGGTGTGACTTGCATTTGCAAATGCACACCGCAGCACGCCTGGAAGTTGAGAAGCAATTGAGGTAGGGTTGTTGGTGGATGTTGGGGCCAGGCTGTGGCTGTTGTAGCTTTGTTGAACTGGGCATGCACGGGCTGCGCACGGGGAGTGGATATTGATATTGGTGGTACTCAAAACAGCAACGCGCACTGAGTGTCAAACCTTCAAGACCTGGACAAAGCCTGAACCCTCAAGCAAAACCTCGTGTCTAGCAAAGCAAAAATTGCAGGCAATGGCAAAACAAACATAGAAGGCAATGGCAAGGCCAGTATAAAGCCTTCAGAACCACAGCTGACATAGCCTACCCGACAACACCCTGACCTGACAGGCGGAGCGAAAAACAAACCGTTGCGAAAATGCCTGGCACATGGTGGGTAAAGTTAATGGGAGGCAGCTCCGCCACCGCCATCTTCCTTCAGAAAAACCTCAACGATAAAAGAGGAGAAACCTAATAGCGATGGCCTCGAACCCAAGAGCGATGGCCTCCAACCCGATAGCAATGTTACTACTGGTGATGTGTTCCAAGCTCAAGAAGGAATGTCGCCAATCTGTGCTGAAGCAAAGACAAGGCCTGACTGACAGAGTGATGTTCACTGTCAAAGGAGAGAAATGCGCTGAGAGTCGAAACACCTGAAAGATCGAAGCCAGGCAAAGCCATGCAGCAAGAGCCATACTTATAAGCATGGAAGACGTGTCTTTGCATAGCATCTTGAGTGCGGGACCCCTTTGATGCAAACTAGCTGGCACAGATTGTTTGCCAGGAAGAACCTTACGAAGTGGCCACTTGCTTCAAGTGGCGTTCATCTTTGGCTTTTGCTTGCTCAAACAAAACACTCTCGAGGAGGCGACAGCAGCTGTATTGGAATTGGAAGTGCATTGCTGATTGGGGCCGACTCCAGCGCAAGCCTTCCATAGAAAGAACTTAGTGCCAAATGATTGGGAACAATTGTACAAGGCCTCGCTGCCGCCACAACGTCTTCCCACAGGAAAATGAAGGGAAGGAAGCTCACCTGGTCACTTTGCGCTTCAGTCGATTCCCTTGCTCTGGCAGCCTGTGCTGTAGGTCTCGTTGAAAGCTGACAGTGAAGATCTGTAAAACAGTGTGCCCACGAGCTATATATACCCCTATTGCAAATCTAGCAACAAGATGCGATGTGAAGAGAAACTCTTCTGCAAGCTCGCTCTTCGTGCCACAGTTTGCATGGCGCCTTATCTGCGCTCAACACAAGATTAATTTAAAGCCTTTCAAGCTGGTTCAAAGTGAAAGGGCCCTACAAAAGACCTGGATGGAGTTGTTCCAAGGGACTTGTAAAGCACGGCCTGAGTGTGCCCCAAGAAGCCTTGGAGTATCTGTACAAAGATCAGGAGGGCGATACCAATGCTCCATCTGGACAGTAGCACAAGCGTTTGTTTTCGTTAACAAACCTTGTGTGCCACGTCTCTTGTGTCGGGGCATCTCTATAAGTTGTTGTCCAAGTGTCTCAGATTTGTTGGGTACTTTTGGTGACACAACGAAAACAATTTTGAGGAGACAATCCGTTGTGTACCAGTTGGCAGCGAGAAAAAAGCTTATAAAGGACGTTAGGCAACTCACCAAAAAAGAACTTGAAAACTTGTTGAACAGTGCTTGTTTCGATGCACTTCAATGACCTCATCACCCACATTGCATGATGCTTCTCCAGCCTTATGAAGCCCTCATCTGCGTGAGACTTTGTGGTAGCACCTTTCACCAGCTTGGAATTGGCTTATAAAAGAAGAGCCAGCCTGGCAGGCCTAAGCTTGTTGAGCGTGTATCTACATATTATGAACCACCAAATGACATGAAATGACTACAGGTGTATGACTAGCAAACCACATCTAATATATATATATATATGTATATGTATATATATGTGTGTGTGTGTAGTTGTGTTTCCTACACTCCCCTTCTACTATGCATTGGCCTTCCATCTTTGACAGTGTGCACCTGGGCCACAATCCGAACAGCCCAAAAACTGCTTCGCATCACCCACCTTGGAAAAGTCAAAACAACTGGAACTTGGATCAAACTGCAAAAACGTACATCACAAGTTCACGAAGCTTGACCAGAAACAAGTGGAAGATGTGCTCCACGGAATGATACAGAAGCAACAAACAGTAACGGTTGATCAGTTGTAGATGCATAAGAATTTGCCGCCTGCCTGCGTCTGTGTTCTCTTAGCTATATAGTAAGTTCCAAGGAAAACACTTTGAACAATGCACAAAAGGCCAACAGCCATCTGGATGTATCACTGCTTGCTTTCAGGCCACACTGCCCAGAAAAATGCCAACCTGAAGATGACATTCGACCAACAACAAAGCCCTCGCATCAATAACCAACACGAAATGCTACTGCGCGACCATTTTTGGCCCAAAGACTGTTATGAAGAGCACACAAACCAGTTGCTTCAAGGAGTAGCGCTGGCCAAAGAGCGAGTACCTCCAATCAATTGACTGCAAGAGCGAAACGCTCATAGGGATAGACAAAAAAAGATGCTGATTGGATTCTGTTACGCCCCTTCTTACTTAATTAAGTAGGCGCATATTTAATTGAGTGAGTAAGTTCCTAGCTATTCAAACTACTACATAATATGGACGCAGGATAGTTCACGTTTCTTCAAGGAAACTCCCCCGCCTGAGGGCAGGGGGAGCTTCCTTGAAGAAATTTTCGCACTAATCATTTGGTTCCCAGATTTCCCCGGCTTTACACACCTCTCATGTCAATGCTCCGCAGACCATCAATCGTGCTGAACTTGAAGCCGTTGTATGGATTGTTCAACATACATCTATTCACTATCCAGATCGGCTTTTACCCATCTATGCAGACAGTGCATTTGTGATTCGTGTTATTGATGAAGTTACCGGCCAGGCACATACAAATATAAATACTATCGACTTGCTCATTCCGATTTGATTTCCTTAATGCGCGCACAGGAAAGCAACCCCCCTTTTTAATGAAGCCCGGCTTTGAGAGATAGTATTCTGATCCACCCCTTTCCCACGCTGATCCTGTCATCCATCAATCATTCTGATCATTCTGCTTTGCTCTTCTCATCCTTCCCTGTTAAAAACACAAAATGTTAGCAAAAGTCGTTCCTGTTCCTTTATAAAAACTCTATCAAAATCTTAAGGTTTTCAAGCTCACAAAGGGTACCCCTCACACAGGCCCTACCACACTAAATAGTAGGGGCCCCTCCCCCCTATTAATCAAGCCCACCCTTTGGCCTCCAATGGCCTCCATCTTGTTTTCCATCTCTTTCATCCTGCAATCCTCTTTCTTTTCCTAATCATCCCAATCAAAGAAAGAATCTTTTCTTCCAGTCTCGTTCATCTCTTTCCTAATCATCCCAATCCCAATCTTGTCCTCATCTCATCATCCATCATGAGGTCATCATCTTTATTAAGGGGATGTGGTCTCCAATCCCTCCAATCCCAGACCTTGTTGACCTTGAAGGGCGGGGTTGATTAATCCGGTGCTGGCATTACTCAATATTACTCAAACAATTCCGGAATCCAGTTTTGCACCGCGTTGTCAAAGTCAAATCACATTGCGATTTTGCCTCCGCTCGCTCTTCAGCTGATCTTTACCAAATACTTGGGAACCAAGTAGCAAATGAAACAGCCAAAATGATTAACAAACAGGAATTCCCCTTGCTTAAGGAAGTGACCGATAATATTTCTCGCCGTTCGAAAGTTCAATTCGAAGCCATCCATGCGGTCTATCAATACCTGATCGATCTCAATAGTCTCTATGCCACCCTCAAAATTGAAAAAGAGTCAGCAACATCTCTTGTTGAAAACATGGAAACAGTCGACTTCTACGCTAATTTTCGTGATCGCCTTCCAAAATGGCAAGTCTCCGGACCGCAGTGGTCATTACAAGGGGAATTACATCCAGCTGTTGAGCACGCTTCTTACTGGGAGCGTAAGGTTACACGCCGAGTTTGGAAGTTCTTCCGTGGTCTCCAGTGGCCAGATCCTGAATCACCAAAAAGCGCCCATGAATGTGGTATTATACATGATGAACTATGGGGAATTCTTGCCGGTGTGGATCTCTCAGAGCAATAAAAACTATCCTATTCCCTTCGCATTTGACTCTCCAGAAGTTCGCATTCTTCCAGCGGACCGCAGAAATTTGAAGCTTCATTTTCCCTCGATATGCCAAAACCGGAGCTACATCCCTGATTCACCAGCGATACCATAAGACTTTGGTTGGGGGAATTGCGCGGCGTCCACAGTTCGCTGGTCAAGATATACGCATCAAGAGGCACAACAACAACCTGCTGACGTGCATCTACCTTTTCCTATTTCTCCAGGTTACGTTGCACTAAATGAGAGATTCTTGAACATAATGTCAACGTCGGATTAATCAACGGGCCCCCCCCCCCCCTAGAAGGTCAACAAGGTCAACAAGGTCTGAGATTGGAGGTTTTGGAGATCACATCCCCCCAATTGGTGGGATGACCTGATGATGACAGGAGGAGGAGATGAGATGGGATGGAATGATGAGATCCATGAGAGCCCAAATACTAATTCCCTTTCATCATGAGATCCATGAGAGCTTATTGGCACAAATTTGATGAGAGATCTGAGAGATCAGAGCCATGCCAATTGGATCAAAGCATATCAGGGCAAGTTGAGAGGATTAAGGATTCATTGCAAGTTGAGAGGAATAAGAGGATTAAGGATTTGAAGGATCAGGATGAGAAGGACAAGAAACATGGGGAGAAGATGAGGTTGGAGAGAGAGAAGATTGCAGCATTGGCTGGGAAGATGAAGGAAGAGCATAAGAAGTTGAATAAGATGCAGGAGGATGCTTGGAAATTGGTGAATGAGGGTGGTGCTTTGAGGGTGGATGAGCTCCCAGCAGCCTATTTGAAAGCCAAAACCAAGATTGAGTTGGATGGGATTGGGGTATGTGGCAAGTGCAGGTATTCCAGTGGGTGTATGGATTGCAATGTGTGGAAATGCACTGCCTATTGGATGAGGAAGGAGGGGAAGAGGATGGGCAGGAAGATCCCATATGAGTATACAATGGCTGCACAGATTGCTGCTGGGAAGGATGAGAAGAAGAAGCAGGAGCAGGATGAGAAGGATGATAAGAAGGATGGATGAGGGCATCAGCTGGAAGAATGCCAAATGGCATGTGAGAAGGGTGGATCAGAATGCTATCTCTCAAGAGATGGCATGGGAAAAGAGTGGATCAGAAGATCAGTTTCACCATCAGTTTCACCATGGACCAAAAGATATTGAAAAGGCAAAAAGAATAAAACTAATTAAACACATATATATATTGAAGTATTTATATTTTTCCTGGGGGGACAGGGGGTTGACTAATAGGGGGGGGTTTCAGCCAAGCAAAATTTTTATTAGAGGGTGGTGACTGTGGAAATTAGTAGTTCAAATTAGTTTATTATTGGGGCCTGAACCCTGGGTAGACTAATAGGGGGGGGTTGGATAATCCTATGTTGACATTACGTTTGAATCTTACAAAGGGCTGTGAAAAAGTTAGTCTGCACTAAACAGTCCTTGCGCACCTTTGACTTAGATGCCTTCAAATTCAGTGCTCCCAATTAGGTCGATTGGTCGGATGATTCAAAATTGAATACCTTGTGTGCCTTTTCACACAAGCTCCATTGTCACTAGTTCTGTATAGTCGAGACAACGGTGGCATACCTCATGTACAGGGTCTATTTACCATTGTTCTTACTTACAGACCTCCGGCACCCCAATATGTAGGACCTTTAGGCACGCGACAGACAGTCTGCAAGTTCGTGTGTGGGAAACTTAACAAATATTTGTTGGTGCACAACTTTCATCGACTAATTAAAGTTACGAATGTCCATCAACTGATCCACAGCGGGCACCCGAGCAAAACTGACGCAATCACGTTGCAGGATCGAAAAAGGGTGTGAATTGGCACCGATATGTTGAAGCTGAAGGCAACCTCATCACACAATCTGAAGCAAAAAAATCTAGTAAAAACTACAAACCTGATCAACTGTTTTTTGGTATGCAAGAGACATTGGCCAGTACAGACATAGACACCTCAGTCAAGAAACACTCATGAATATCGAAATTGATAAATAAACTGTATTGTATACTACAGTATATGATCTGATCTGTCCGCTCGGGAAATAAGCTATCCATACTGCTGCTAGTCTCAATCGCCTTGGGCAAGAACCCAAAGAGCAGCATGGTAGAAATGACCTGAAGATTAAAACGGCCATTCCTCTGTATCCGCTCTGGGGCAAGTTCCTTTCACAAACCACAGATAACAACTCTGGGTTCCCGGTCTCTCTTTGGGCATCTGCAGCGGCCGCAGTCCAATCGAACCAGCCTTCGCAACTACAGAATTGCCTCAACACGCCTTTTTGCACAGCCTGAATAAAACAACAAATAAGAAACATGTACAATATTCAGGCTGTAGAAGAGACTTTTTAGACTGCATGAGACCTCATTTTAACTTGCCATGATTAAAGTTTGTTGTGCCACTCAATTCCCTTCAAGAATAAGTCCAACTATAGACTATAGTTTGCTAAATAAAAAACTATGTGTAAATTAATCGCTGCACTTGTGCACGAAAAACGAATGATCTGGGCTCTAAGCCTTTGCAACTATGCGGCTCGGAAAGCTTTGGATCAAAACAAAGGCAAACCTCGGCTACTCAGATCCAATGATCACATCAAAAATGTATAGTTAGTGTCTGTATGCACACTAGCTAGATAGATAGATAGATAGGATAAGATAGGATAGGATAGGAAAGGATAGGATGGGATGGGATGGGATGGGATCGGATCGGTTAGGTTAGGTTAGATTAGATTAGATTACAGTAGATTAGCAGATAGATAGATAGACAGATAGATAGATAGGTAGATAGATAGATAGACAGATAGAAAGAAAGATAGATGGACAGATAGACAGATAGATAGATCGATCGACCGACCGACCGATCGATCGATCGATGGATGTCTGGATGGATGGATGGATGGATGGATGGATGTTGGTTGTTTGTTGTTTGCTTGTCGGATGCCGAGGTGCAAGGTCTCGTGGCGCAACCCACTCCTGTTGTGAGTTCCGGGTGTCCCAGCCACCTGATGAGGCCTGCAACCTTGCGAGCGCAAAGCACCGTGGCTGCCGCGCTCGTGTATTTGGGCAGCCCACTAGATTGGCTCACGGTCATCGTTCTTCCCGATCCACTGGCCACTGGGACGCTGCAGCAGCGCCGTGTAGGCAAAAGCAGAGAACTTGGGCGCGCTTTGGAGCGTGAAGGCTAAGGACCGCATGGTCCGCCAATGGGCGCGTGCCCGAGCCTTCTTGTCATCGTCCGGGTTTGCGGGAAGTGCGGCGCGGGGCTTGCTGTAGCCAGGGCTCACATATCATAGTAGTCAGAAATTAATCAACTGCGCCCATCGCCGACATAGCCGCCCAAGTGGGTACTCGATCTCGTCAGCCGTAGCAAAGCCGAATGGGGTGACTCCCCAGGGCAGGTGCACACGCCTACGCAGCAGCATGTCGGCTCATCATCTTGCGCCACCGCCTCCGTGTTCACTGGTCAGTGGAGCGACCAGCGCGGAACACTTTCTGGCTCAATTCCTTCTGGAAATCAGTTTTGCAAGTTGCGGTGTCCTGCTATGTCACCTTTCACTCGTGCATGGAGGCTTGCGACCCAAGAAGACCACCATCAGCAGCGATCTCCAATGTCTTCAAGAACTAGCTGCCGAGTGTACAAACCACCGTTATTTGTCCTGCCCTTTCGCACTTCGAAGAGGCTTGGGCCCACGCTTGTCCGGCCCAAGAGGGGCCTCGCGCACATGAGCTGGTTCCACATGGCAAGCCATAGCGCCAAAATCGGCACTGCTTGCTCCGAATCCATGAAGCAGCTAAGGCTTCTCCATCTTCTGTGAGCAGATCAAGCTTAACGACTGGAGCCTCGCAGGAGTTCATGACAATGCGGTCAACTCCAAATGACGAAGTCACGCCAAGCTTCCTGAACTGAGCCGTCAGGCCAGCTGTGCGCTGAGCAGTCTCCATCACGTGAACCTCCGCTGCTGACTTGGCATTGCTGGTCGTTCTGTACGTCCTTCACCGTGATGCCTTGCCCCGTGGCATCTAGCTTGAGCTCCTTGGGAGGTTTCTGCACGGCGATCTCCTTCGGGCGGATGGAGATAGCCGAGCGCATCTGCCTGCATCACGCCACTGACCACATCATACACACTGTAGGCAACCTCCAGGGGGGGCGCAGCGTCAATCAATCGGGTTCTTTGAGCCGCAACTCTGGCCGCGCGCTCTGCTGGCGGCAATGCCGTGGGATGAGCTTGGGCTCTTGCTTGGGCAACCGCTGAGGCGGTTTGATCTTCGAAGATCGAACTCCTCATGATGGCCAGGTCCGACAGGTCCCCTACTGCGATTCCCCTCGCTGGCGCTGCAGCAGTCAGCAGCTGGCAAATCGCTTTATCTCTTGCGATTGTTCCAGGTTGACTGCGCAAAGGCCAACCTTCCAAGGGCGTCGAGATTGGCAGCTTTGGGGCCGGTCACATAGTCGGCGTGGGGGTCCCAGCTGCGCCGCCTGGCAATCGAACGCTGCATTGCTCTCGGTCAAGTTGGCGGCCGCTATCTTTTCAAGCTACGAAGTTGAGAGACCCAAAGAAATCATGCGCGCGTCATGCGCGTGAATACGACATGAAGCCTCAACTGCGCCTCAGCCCGAGAACATGTACCTCGCGTTACTCGATACCTCGTGTGGTTTCTACCTCATGTCAACTGCACACGTCTCAAAGCAACAAGTGAAGACTTAGCACGCAGTCAGAAACAAAAGATTCCTCATGTTACCTTTTAAGTGTAGTCGAAGGATACAAGACTCACGTCTTCAAGAGAGCTTTTCCAACTCAAAGCAGCAACGCACATCACGCCTACTACCAGACCATCAAAAGCGCAAACAAGATGAGAGTTCTTCTGGCGTGTTTTCATTTCTTCGCTGGCGCTGTCAAGTTACCTATACCTCACGCGTCACTTGACTTGCGCGGGCGATAATTGCTTCTTTTGCCTCGGCTGAAGATCCACTCAACCGCTGCGCTTGCGCATGCTTGCGTTGAAGACAGCGGACAAGCCAACCGGCGCCGAATTTCCATGAATTTCCTTTCAAACGACGACTGCATCTTGGCCAGTCGAAGGCTGCCCCTTCCCTCAGAACAATGAACCGTCGCCATGGAGCCCGCAGTCGGTCACTGGTCTGGCTGCAGCTTGTTGTTGGGATCCGGGCAGCGCTTGCGCAGCATTCTACTCCTCTTGTTCTGCATGAGTTCGCCCTCGACAGGAGGGGCAACGCCACTGTTGAGCATGCTTCCAAGCCGCCCATGGAAGACCTCCTCGTTGGCCCCAGGTGTGGTAATCACTGACCTCTGAGTCAGAGCTGGCGCTCTCGATCAACTCTTCGGCGTGGACGACGCCCTCGATCATCGTCGGGCTCAAACGTCGTTCTCACCGAACTCCGCGGGCTTGTTGAACGGGTCGAACTCCGGAGGTGTCCGCGTCGTCTCAACAACAGCCTCTTCTTCGTCCTTGACGATGGTTGATGTGTACCCACCATCCCCATCATCTTGGGGTATCGATGTCACGTCGATCACTGGTGTCTCAAAGAAAGCAGCTTGTTGCCATGCGTGTACCCAGACCGTGCGCCGTCGGGGTTGAAGTGCCCCAGCTTGATGTTCAAAAGCATTCCACACAGGTCCCTCAGCGGTCGCGCAAGGAGGTCTCTGGAGTAACACGCCAGGGACTCGTCGATGGCACGGCGTCCCAACATCGGCCTCCTCATGTCATCTATGCCGCGCGCCGTGTAGTGGACTTCAAGCTGTGAGACGCGGTAGCGGCCTCGGTATATCACTGAGTGCGCAAGAAGCCATTGATCACGCATGCAGGAGACCTCGTCGGCGCTCAGTTGCCTTTTGGTGAACCCTCCAACGCAAATGGGCGCACGACAGATGGGTCCATATGGCCCACGCCCACATAGAAGATCAAGTTGCTCCAACGTTGTCCTCCAAGCCAAAGCCCAGCGCCGCCTGGCCCCACTCCTTCAATCGGTGCTACAAATGGCGCGTACAGCTTCCTCTCACCACCGTTGGAGGTCTTGTGAGTTTTTGCCCTCTGCGAAGCCCAAGCCGTCTCCATCGTCAATCACATCGTAGAATCAGCTTTGCATAGGGGCTAGATCTGACCACCTTGCTCTGAGTACAATGCGAAGAGTATGCATCCTGCAAATTATCGGTCAAGAACATTCTTGGCGCATGCCACAATCTCCTCAAGCTTTTTTATCTCTTCAACAGTCAGGGCTCGAGCTTGTTCGGTAGGATCTCTGGTCGAAAGCACCCTCAGGACTCGGCCTTGCAGTAGCGGCCCCACGACAGTCTCGACGTTGAAGTTGGCCTGCATGACGAACCTGAAGAACTTGAGGGCATGCACCAGGCTCTTCCCAATGAACTTGCTTCGGTCATCACGCTCACATCGTTCAACATAGTCCAGCAAGTCTTTTCTTGCAAGCAAGGGCCACCATTGGAGCGTGAAGTCCTCTCGCACCAGTTGGTCTGTTGGTGAACTATTGGAGATCTCGCCCACGCTTGAGGACCGAGCTTGACCTCACTCCATGCGCAGGCATCCTTGATGTAGGTGAGCACAGCCTCTCTATCCTGTCCTCGCAATTTTTCCATGACATAGCCGCCCATGCACAAGCGAGAGTCGAAGCTGCTCTCCAAGACGGTCAACCAGCACGCCAAGGCTCGTCCACTTCAAACCTTGCGCCTCCTTGTAGTCAGAGTCGCGCAAAGCCTTCACATGCTTGGCAAACATTGGGGGGGTCCTCACAGGACCAAACTGGTCGAGGATCTCCATCCTCTTTCTCAGCATCCGGCTGCGTGCCACAGGAAATGCAGGTTGCGGGATCATGCCTGCATCCACTGGTAATCCCAGCAGACCTCCGCCTCCAAAGATCTGCGCAAACACACCTTTTTTCCATGGTAGCTTTGAGATTCCCGCATCAACACTCATCAGGTTGTTCTCGAAGATCACCCTGTCGAAGTGCGTCTGCGCCATGCTTCCAAAGTTGTCCTCATTCTCGGGGATTAAGGGCCAGTCGCCACCGCTCGAAGATCCAGCTTCACCACCAAACATGGCTCCTCCTTGCCCGAAATTGGACAACACGAAAGCGGTTGCCCACCCTCCTTGAAAGGAACTGCGAGGAACACAAAGGATCAAGCACGACGATCGAATGAATGCAAGCTTGTTTTCCATCGACATGTAAAGCAAAAAGGCTCTTAGAAAATAAAGAGTAAAAAGAGTTTGTTTGTCTTCGCCGACTGCCTACATTCTTACCATTCTCACATAAAAGTGGAAGGAGGGTATCGGGGAAAAAGTTGTTGAGGTAGAGCAAGAGTAGCGCTACTTCGGTATGTTGGACCTTGTCCTGAAAGCTACTTCTATTTGATTGGCCGTTTGCGCGATGTTTTGACAAGGCAACCATTTAGAAGTCGGCCTAGGCAAAATTTCTTCGATAATTGTGGGCGGTACTATAACTGTCTTTATAACAGGGAGGTACACTTGGAGAATTGACCAGAACAAGGCTTACACTTACTGTTTAGAGGAAACAGTAAAAATACAAGCCTTCAATGAGTTTTACTGTATGTATGGAGAGCCTATAACAATAACAAGCATCATATCAATGAGCTAGGATAATGATAGTTGTTCTTGGTGAGGGTAGTTGATGAAATTGCATTGTTGTTTGTTTATAAACCCTATCTATTGATATATGATATGTGTCAAAAGAATTTGCTGATAGTTGAACAATTGTATTAGAAACAGCCCTCTTGTGTGTATGATGTTGATTATAAAGGAGATATGCAAAACTTTACAACACCAAAATGTCAGATAAACAGCATGACGACACAATGGCAAAAAACAATGATTGCTAATGTTAACATAGGGATGTTGGAAAAGGGAACTAACAAGAGCCAGAAAAGTATAGATTTTGAAAGTTTGAGTGCGGCAGTGCAAATCAAAAAATTATGGGAGGCAGGATCAACAAGATGAGTGGGCGTTATGACATTGAGGAATTACTGAAATTTCTGAAATTAGTGAACATGAATTGACTGATGAACACATAGACTTAGAAGAAGACAAGGGGGGCAGTAAAATAATCAGGTGGAATGCTTATGAGGGTGATGCAGGCCAGTATGATTTAGAAGGAGGTTACAATCACGGACACGTTAAGATTAAGGATTGCAAATACTATGACATTGTTCAAGTTGAAAAAGAAACAGCCACCAAATACTATACTCTAAAAGTATCTGACAAAAGACTATCAAACATTGAAAGATTGCTTCTAATGTGGCAACATTCTTCATAATTTGATTGATATTGTGGCATGTTTGGGAGCCCGTCAGCCATTCCAAACGTTTGCAAACGATTCCTGTGGCAAAATTTATTCCAAGTAGTGCCTGATCCAAGATTCAAGATTCAACATGTCTAGCAGACACTCCAATCACTCCAATCACAAAACAGGCAAGAAAGGTAAGTAGACTTAAACTAACTTTTCCAGGGGGGTAACATACATTTGTATGATGCCCCCATCTTCCAAGAAAGTACCTGCAAAATCTGACCATAAAAAACTTGCACCGCACACTGCAAATACCAATGAAATACACCAAACTAGGAGTATAGGAGGGGGAAACATATATGCATATATATAGAGAGAGAGAAAGAGAGATTCCTAGATGCTACCCCGCCCCCACAGAAAACAATACGCCTTTTTGTGTCACAGAACGTTGTGGGTTGCACATGCTACATGCTGTTTACAAAGCCTTCGAAGTACACGACGTCTATCCCGTTCCTAGATCTCTTTCATTGAGATGCTTTCTGTCAATACTATTATATATACTAGAAAATTCTTGGGAAGGGACTCTTATAAGGAGGTGTCTTGCATAACCCCAAATGTTTTGGATATTGTAGCCTTTATGAAGAGGAATTTATGTACTCAAGAAGCTCAGCTAAACCCAAATTGTTCTCTGAAACACGAGAATGTGTAGACATCTCAGGGGGAGAATATATTGTTGCCACTCTATCCAACGAATTATGTCTATATCATGTATAAATATGTGTCTATATATATATATTAGATTGAATCTCCTCCTTATGTCCAATAAAAAAGCTCATTGTCCACTCCAAGAAGCTCAGATATGCTCAGAAGGTTTCCGGCCTTTGGGTTGGCCTGCCACGAGAGAAGTACAATCCGATCGAAGTCAGATCTTGGGATCTTCATGAAAAGAAGTCTTCTAGGAATATTTGAGAATCAATTTGCTTGCTACCGTTTTATGACTGATGACACCGTTTGTCCGGAAAGAGTAGCCTTCAGAACATACTCCATTGCAATGACAGCTGACATGCACCCGCCAAAGACCTAACAGCTTCCAGAAGCACAAAATGTGAATGGTAGGCATTTTGCAATACTGAATCAGCTATATACTTTTCTCAGTGAAAGCAGTGTGTCCCGAGGCCACTGCCATGAAAAAGGGCAGGACTGTTTGGAAGTAGGTGCCTCTGGCTTTCACAAAGAAGTTGGGGATGATAACTGAGCAGGCAAGCCGAGCAAAGTCAAGCATTCAAAGTCTGAAAGGCCTTCAGAGCGACTCATCGCGCAAGTGGCTTAAGCGGTAGCGTCCGGAGTCCAACCCACTCTATGTATTGGCTCCACACCCCATCAAGCATGAATTAATTGTTGGTCGTCGCAGTGTCAGGCTGACATTTAGAAACCATGTGCTGATGAAAAGGATGCATTTGAAGCCTGTTGGGTTAATGAAGTAGTATTCACAAGAAGAGTTTCCAGAGCACATTGGCCCTGAAACATACCCGTGGTTTGTAGCGATCCCTTTTGAACCATTCGATAGTTTTAAGTTGAAGGACAGCACACATTGTGTAGTTTATGCCTCGAATTCCGTTCAAGCAAGTCGCTCAAATCAGCTTGTGCCTACTGTTCAAAACATTATGAATTAAGAGGTGCCGTTGTCATCGTACATTGCTGGGAGAACAAGGTCTGTTCATTCCCCTTTTTGAATTTGGGCTATTTCTTGTGCTGTTGCCTTCCGTCAGTTGTTTCTCACAGAGCCAAGCTGACTAGCAAAAAAATTACATAATATGGAGAGGCCACACAATTCCAAGTAACAGCGTTCTGGCAATAGAGCGCTGGATAATCTAGACATATCTAGACTCTCATCTCTTTGCTTGGTGCTCTGAGCTCCTTGTCGAGCTCTTTCTGAGCTCCATTTAACCAAGAAATCCTTTTTGGGCAAAGATTTCGCAAATGCGCCATGCTGCGGCCCCGAGTCTCGCCTCACCGGGACGCTCTTTGTACAAGCGCATTGCGCAAGCAGCGCCCAACTCCATTAGGCCAACTCTCTCGAGTTCGACGATAAGCAAATCACATTCGCCGTGAACTTTCGGAATTATCTGTCCTTCAGGCACATACTGGGTCAAGCTCTCCTACACAGCTTCATCTTGAGAATGTGCTACGTTCATTTGTGCCACTGGAAGCCGCTTGCGCTCAGATCCCAGGTCAACCACGGCCTCAAGATACTCGCTGTCTCTTTTTCACAATCTTAGCCCTTAGCCGTTTAGTGAAGCTGTGGATGGCTCTCAAGAACTCAGCTTTGGCACTCCTGCACACAAATCGCTGCTTGTCCTGGCCTCGGCCACGGCCACGGGTAGAGGAGGCCTGAAGCGAAGGTTGATCTGTATTGGGCGAACTTGAAGCCAGAATGAAACACTGTTGAGTGCCTGATACCGTAGTAGATACTATATATGATATTCGTAGATGAAACATGATGAAATAGTAATCTGCCCGAATCTGCCCTTTCGCCTTTGCAGCCGTCACTTTTGCCTGATGCCAAGATCAAATGTCGCGGTGATCAGGTGACTTTCCATAGCTTTCACAGGTGCCTTGGCTTTCGCAGCCTTCGGTTGCGCTTTTTCAGCCTTCGCTTTCTGAGATGCCTGGACAGGTTAAGGTTGGAAGCGCAGTTTGCAAGCTCCTTCATGAGTCATGGACGTTCTTGTCGGTCCTGCTGTGTGCACAATTGTCTTTCCAGAAAGGATGGCCTTGGCCTTTGCCGCCTTTGCTGTCGGTTTCGCAGCTCCCTGGACAGCATCCATCTTATTTCTGCAGAATATGCATACGCTTTGCCTGGCCTTTCTGATTACAGAATATGTAATGGTATATGTATATGATATGTATAGATTTTAGACAATACATAATCCGAATCCCCTTTCAGACTCTGAAGCTAAGTGCGTTGTTTGTCCCGTTCAACGCACCTTAGGCACATCAGCTTTGCTTGCCTGTGCCAAGCACTTCAAGTCAAACAAAACGAGCCTGACAAAGCAAGCCTGGATGTCTCATGATCATAAGCAAAAATGTGTGTAGTGTAATATAGTTGACAGTGGCAGCAGGCAGGCAAGGCCTTCAAGTCTAAGGAGCGTGACGGCAACGGTGACCGTCCAAATCCCAAGGACTCAAAGCTGTTAGGACACGTTGGTGCCCAAATCCACAAAATGAACCATACGGAGTTGGTACAGGAAATCTACGAGATTCACCTGAAGCAAGGCTTTAGGAGGAGCTCCACAGCACGGGGATAATTACACCAAGTCAGGCAGTAAGTTGTTCTTCCCACAACACGGCTTTCTCAGCCTCTGTCGCATTCAAAGTCAAACAAAGGGGGAGTTATTGTTGCTTGCATGATCGAAGCCAAGCGAGCAACATGATTCATCCCAATGCTAGCTGTGTAATGACCAGCTAGTGACCAGCTGCAGAATTATGAATTTGAGTGGCAGCTGAAAGCCAACCAAGAGAAAGCCCGAGTTGAAACTCGCTGTGACTTCTCGCCTCCAATGCTGGCCTGAGGACCCCATAAGAACTCATAAGACAAAAATTATCAGTCTATTTGTGACGTTTTGGCACGCACTTTTTGCGGTACTAAAATTGCCTAGGATCAGAAGCAAAGGGAAGTCTTGCCGGCACTTGTCTTTCGACTGAGAGGCTCTGGCGTTTCAGCCGCAGGAGCCTAGCAAAAGTGGAAGGCGTCACAACCCAAGGTCCGGTCACGCGGAATAACGACACCAGGCCTCCACTGCTGCATCTTCCTGCACAACTCAACAACCACGAACACTCAAACCAACGGCAGTGCTACATCCCCAAGACGGCAAATTCAAGTGACTAACGCCAAATCCCTTTCCACTTCGATTCTTTGCAAAATTGCCTAACATCGAGAGACTGAAATGAGTGTGCAGAGTATTCGCAAGGGCCCGGAAAGTAGAGACAAGTTCAGAGGCCTAACAGGCTGCGGTGGAGTTTAGGATGAACATGAAAAGACAAGGGCTATAGAGGCTATAGAGGGTAGATGGCGTAGGTGCTCGAAAGGTGAAGTCTTGGGGCTAAGTGGACTAGAACACGTTGTGGAGCTAAGGACTCTGAGTTCCCTCCTGCGCAGGCTCAGTCTCTGCAGGTTCTGCAGGGTCCACAGGTTCTGCAGGTTCTGCTGGCTCAGGTGCGCCAAGATGAGCAGGCTCCTCGCGTGTTTGCAGCAAACTCAGTCCCTTGTTTTACACGCAAACCTGGTCAGCAAAGGTCAGCATATCTATACACATATATATATATATATATTCGGCAGCTTCACTCCATCCAATCTCGCTACATCATTCAGCATTCGAGGGCTCCGATGGCTCTGCAGCACCAGCAAGGGCCGCAAGGGGCTCCAGGACCTTCAGTGTCAAATGCGATTGACCCAACGGCCCAAAGATATGATCAGCATGATCAGCTATGATTTGCACCATGCTCTCACAGCATCTCACAAGAGAGGACATGAGAGGACAGTGATCACGAATTGAATGGAATGGACATGTCATTCTCCTCTGCCGGCCTCTGAAGGCGCAGGATCCGTAGCTGCAGATTGGGTCTGCTCGGCCTCGTGTTGTGGATGAAAGGTAGCAAATGGTATGGAGGGGCACTGGTAGAAAATGGGATGAGGTGTAGGTCGCGGAAGGAATTCAGCACCAACAAGCAGAAGAAAATCTGGCATGAAAAGCTGATGGGCAGGGTTCGTGGGAAACAATTGTACTTCTTTCTGGGAATTGTTGGTGAAGGAAGCTTCCTTCCCATGCTTCCCAGTTGCACAGAAATCTAGGTGCTGAAGATACACTGGCTTTGGCGGCCTATCTGCATCTACCCGCCATCCTGCTATGCAATCCCAAAATTATGCGTTGAATTGAACCATTTGCTTACTATCATCCAAGCCACTCAAGTGAACTTTCGTGACAGGTATCCCATCTGTAACTGCAGCTCTGTTGCTGTGGCTGGTGCAGCCTCAGCAGGGCCAGACTCAGGAAGCCCATCCTCTGCCTCAGAAGGCCCATGCACAAGTTGCAGGAAGCCCTTCCTTGAGGAACCGCGACCAGCCTTTGATGGTACGGGTAGGCCGGATGCACAGCTGCAACGATACAGAATGTACAGCAACTGGTTAGGGTATGTCCTCAGACCTGGCAAAGTCTCTACTGAGCTAGACCGGATCTACTAGATTGACACAGGATTGAATCTGACAGCAGTTTCTTATCTCGAGGGGGTGATAGGGCATCCCTGACATTAAAATTATTGCTCTTGCTTTGGCTCCTTTCGATGGATTGTCATCTTGGCACAGCAATGCTTTTCAGTCCCATTTTGAGGCTGCGACTGGTTTGTCAGAGGTGTCTGCCACAGGTTCCGCCGACAGCTCTGATGGTGCTGACGGCTGGGCATCAGGCTCTAGCGGCGTGGGCGGCAAGGGTACCTTCACATCTTGCGGCGTTGCGTAAACATGTACAAGGAAGCAACATGAAGCAACAATGTGAGGGAGAAAGGTTCGACTTGTACTGTAGATTCCAAAGTACATTACTGTAAGAGGCTCATGCACACCTTCCCACACAATGACCTAAAACCATACTGTTGCTTGCAGTGACAGAACAAATGGGGTTGCAAAAACACGTGGAGAATTCCTTTATGAAACAGTCTGTCTAAAGACGAGGAAGTATCAAGCAAAACCAACTACTGCGCTATTTACAATATATAAGCTATTGTTGTCAAAAAAATGTGAACAGTCTCTTGCCAAAACATTGCAGTGCATTGCTTTGAACTCTTTGCTGTCGCCTCAGGCTCTTCTGCCTGAGCAACGAGAGAGAGGGAGAAGGAGAGAGGAAGAGAGGGAGAGAGGGAGAGAGGGAGAGAGGGAGAGAGCGAGTAGCTCAACTTTCGAATTGTTTCAACAATCGTAAAACTACTGTATATGGGAAATCACCAAGTCTTCTACTTTGCAAGCGTGGCGGCCTTGAATTCACTAGCTCGCAACAGTGCTGAGACTGTATGCTGGGCCACAACAAGCAGATCTTGGCAGACTGCCTGTTCATGAGATTCATCCTGAACCTCCCTGCCTCCGCAGTGGCAGGCTGATCTTCTCTGGCCTCCGAAGCGAACGCTCCCAAAACCGCAAGTGCATGACGAACACTGAAGAACTGAATGCATCGTAAATGGAAAGCTTTCAGCTCTGTAAATGATCAAATGATCAAACCACAGGGGCAATTGCGAAGCTTCACTCAAGTCTTTCGTCTCTCAAGAAGTGCCTGGACCATTGGCTCCTGGCCACAAAATACTCTCACTCACTCACTCACTCTCTCTCTCTCTCTCTCGCGCGCCGTGTGACATTATTCTCGCCCTAGACGTGCCAGACTTGCAGAAATTGTCTAGCACGGCTCCCATGGCTCCTCACCATCATGCGCTTCCTCTTGTACTTCCTGAGGTTCCTCTCGCATGGAGGCCAGCAGGTCAGGGTCTTCGATGTCTGAATCGAAAGCCTTGGTACAAAACATTCTCCGTAGCCAGGACACTCACGATCATCCAGTTCACTTATTTGACTGCATGATCATGACCACATACAGTAATGTCTTCGTATCTCTTGCTTTCAAAGCCAAGAGCGAGTGCCGGCTAAACATGTGATTATGTCAAAAGCTGCTCTTTGTGCATGGATCAACGACTCTGGGCACATGCCTCCGTCTCTGGGCTGCCAGGTGCCCTTTCTACCTGAGCAATCACTTCACACTTGACAGTGGATATCATCAGCGGCAATAAAACAAGCCAGCCCGTCCATGCGAGGAGGCCTAAAGACCTGCCAACGAGAAAGGATCAAAATTCCATGTCTAGCACTTGCAAGTGCTGAGCAGTGACGGATCCACACCTTGCCTTGTGCATGTGCCTGGTGGGCTGGAATCTATGTACTGGAGGCTTGCGACGGAAGTGTGGAGCCTGCAAGGAGACGCAAGGCTAAATTCTGCATAATGCTCAAACGAAGGAGATTCTAAACGCTGGGCTGTACCAGTGCTAAACAACTGGAAGTTGCAGTACAAACATGCAACAAGCTTGATCTCAAAAAAAGGCCGCCTCATCCTGAATCTTCGCCACAAAGCCCCACACCTTCTGATCCTGAATAGCAGCCTGAACACGAACGAAAGAAAACACAAACTGCTGGTTGAAGTCTTGACATCTTCCATACTGACTCTGAGTCTTGACCACGATGCGATTTTATGGCGACTTGGCTGTTGGATACTCTTGGGTATCTCTGTCTAGTAGACTCCTTACTGCTTGTTTTCCGCTTGTTAGCGAGTTGCCCACCACCACCACCACCACCCCCCCCCCCCCCCCCCCCCCCCCACCCCACAATAACAAACTAGATCAACTGCATCTACAAAAAGCATGTTTAGAAAAAACATAAGGTTCCTTCAGAAGAGACACCAGTCGGCCTCAGCCTGCCGGCGATCTCGGAAGCGCACCATGCACGAGCCTTGAGGTTATTCTTTCAGACAGCATTGTGCCAGCACTGCTGCCGAAGGTGTCAAACAGCATCATGTTGCTTCTATCATTGAAAAGAAGAAGCAATGGCAATGGTTCTCTGCCACTCAGCATTCCGCCATCTGAGACGGTCTGACAAGCTGTCTAGTGAAGTCCTAGTGAAGATCGTCATCTGAGACTCCCGGCTGCCATCTTCAGACCATTCGCGGATCCACTCGACACTGTCACCTAAAGCGTCTCGCAGCTGCACCTGCAGCAGAGACAAATAACTTTCTCTGGACGACCATCCCCAACTCGACTGTCCGATATTGCACACCAATGCTTTTCCAATGCTTTTCGCGGACCGAGTCTCGGCCGATGCCCTGCCTCTCCATCAGGTCCCCGCATCTCTTCCTGAATTGTCATTGCAAGTACGTAAGCCTGTGAAATTCAAGGGCAAAGTACCAAAGTGATGTGTAAACCATACTAATCCGCTGTGACTATATCGGAGGACACTGCAGCAGCTGCCAATTTTGAGATGCAATATTATAGTATGTACAGTACATGTATATATTGTAAATTGGGAGGAACATCAGAACATCATATAACATCTTATAACATGAAAAACATATGAGCCTCAACCTGTGGTTGATCTTTCTTCAGCCGACTCTCGGCCAAACCCACAAGCCCTTGCTCTAGGGGCAGAACAGGGAGCTTCGAGAGCTGCAGAACTGCAGGTCTTGGCCGATTGTCCAGCGTGGTCTGGCAAGCGCGCTTCCACTGACAAAAAATATAACTGAATCCTTTGCACCGTGCACCACTTAACCCAAGACTCGCGAAAGGTAGCTTTGCTTATTGCCAGGGGCCTGATACGGCAGAGGGCGCATTGGCATCGGCCGTCGCTTTGCTGGATCCTGAACATAAGGAAGAGCATGATTGATCCTTTACGTGAAGAGGCACCAGAGCAAAACCGTAAATCCAAACCGCTTGAATCGTGCCTCCTTCTGAACAGGAGTTAGGGCATTGATCTTGTCTTTGATGTTGGCTAGGATGGTCTGCAAAGTTTTTGCAACAGTAAGATTGCTCACTTGTCGGGCCCATGGAAGACCAATGTAAAGCAAAAATTGGGTGAGAGGTCGACAATGAGTTGACAACTTCTTTTTCAGTCCGAAAAAATGCACGAGGACATCCAAAGACTGTCTGTTCAAATCCTTGTTCGGGTGCCTGCAGCTGCTCCCGATTCCGGTCGGAAGTCGATGGATCGTTAATCCTGGAGGGGCCGGTAGAAACGTGCCTTGGGTCAGTACACTTTAGCTGTATACATCTTCAAAAAGGGGAAGTAGAACAAACTACTAAGGTTGAAATTTCCCAGAAAGCTACCTGGTAAAAGCTCTGTGCGCACGCATATGTAACGTAAGTCCGCCGACCCCGGTCCCCGGTCTAGGGCGATTTGCTTGAGTGGAGCCGGGCCGGCGTCGTGTTCCTGAGAGGGGCTCCGGTAAGGGCTGGCCGATATCGGTGTGATGTCGGTTTGCCGAAAAACTGCTCAAAAGAAGACATATATATATATATATATGTGAGGGACGGTCAAAACTCCTTATTCTTCTTCAACCAAAAAAATGGACGTCATCGGTTTTGAGTTGGACCTTATCGTTTTGCAGTGTTTTGAGTTCGTCACATACTTATGATCATATACAGCGCTGGGGTTATCGGTTTTGAGGTGGACCTTATCGCTTTGCAGGGGTTTGTGCACAAACCTACCCCTCTTTACTAAAGTGGTCTTCGCATGCTTTGACCGTGGCTCATATGATTATATATGGTGGTTGATCAATATTCTTTCATCCTGGAATGGCCATTCGTCGCAGAAAAAAAGATATCTTTCGCGGATCTTTCGCGGCCTCATCGCGAAGCATGGTCCTACAACCATGTCTAGCTAACGTGAGCCGGAACATGTCATAATAGGGAGAGACGTCTTGCAGCATGACCCCAGTAGATGGTTGAACGTTTCCACAGCTACTCAGGGTCACTTGCAGCATCTGTGGGACAATTGTGCCAAATAGAGTCAGGCACAACTCAACCCAATCCTCGTGTCAGCTACCAACACAGGGTGATGCAGCTTGGGGAATGTTGGGGGCCTCAAGCTGGGAACCTAGACTTAGACTTTAGCGGCACATTCGCGAAACCTTCGCGGATCTTTCGCGAAATTTCACTTGCGCTTTCCCCGGGACGCCGTAACATTTGCAAACATCTGCGCAGCCCGTCAGAGCAGCGGCAGGTCGTTACCTCACTGTCAGGGCTGCGCCTACCCAGCTTGCTAGTATGTGACAGTGGGGACAGGAATCGGAGAATCCTTTACGCACTGCCAGGGCTGGGCACGGAAAGGTTGAGGCTTCAGTTCGTTAGTCTGTGACATGGGGACACTTCGCCCACTGGCTCTGCCGGAGGATTGCCTTGCGTTTCTATTCTTTGTCAGTCCGGTAGAAAGGAAAACAATGAAAGCGATGACCTTCGATAAATCTTTCGCGGAAAAAAAGATACTTTCGCGAACCTCATCGCGAATCTTTCGCGGATGGTTCTAACAACATCTGAAAGGCTGCTTTATATAAAACTCCTTACACGGGGTTTTCGATCAACTCCCATATGTGTGTGTAACATGCGTATTCGTTGCTGCGGGTCGGGGTTCTTGCCCAGGATTTGGCCTGGGGCTCCTTCCACAAGCAACTTTGAAGCGGCTTGTTGGTCAAAGCTTGCGACCCTCAAAGAACAAGAACATTGCAAATGACAGAGCTTTTGCTATTGTTGAGTGAAAATATCACTGTTAGCAACATGCTCAAAACCGTGTAAATATCGACGTCTTTGGCGGCAAACATATTTATAAGAGTTTTTTTAAACACAAAAAAAAAACATCGTTTTGCATCTCACGGCAAAAACGTTAAAAAAACTTGTTTGCTGAGGAACAAAGCCATCGATATGTACAGTGTCTTCGGGCCAGTAATGCACAAACAACTGGTAAAGTAGCGTGCTTTTTTTTTGCACAGTTTCATTGTTTGCGCCCGCAAGGCAACAAAACCAATGACCAACAACAGCAACTACAACAACAGGACAGCGACAACAACCCTTATGGCATCGCCAGCTTGCGAAGCTCTAGAATATGTGTATACCGTATACCGTATATGAACAGGCGTATATACACGCCTTCTTGGTAGAGGTGTCCATTATATTACTATTATTTCTGTCAAAAAGCTATCATGCTGAACAGTGACAAAATAAATAAACCCCATTCAACCCCCAAAACAATCTCTGACTGCTGACTCTATGGGGTCACCAGTGGTCCCAGGAAACGAGAGTCGCCCAGGTCCTCGCCAAGACTTGCTTCAGCTGGTCAGTGAGGCTGGAAAGCAAAGCCTTCCGCCGATCCTGCAGAACTGACTTATGGGAAGGTGGGCCTTGAGTACGAGAACCTTGGAATGCAAATGTCAAGTCATGTGAAGATTGTGTTGCTACACGTCTTGAGCTGGTTGCTTTCCTGTTGCCTTGCAACTTGAGCAAACGAAATGCTGCGCCTTGCGAAAGTAAGCTTAAAAACCTCCGCAGCGCGCAGTTCTGCCTGCAGCTCCTCTCGCTTTCTCTTGGCTTCGAGGACGCTTGCAGACCTTGGACACCAAGTTCAGGCCATCTTAAATGCTTCAAGACCACGTCACTGAGTGCAGGAAAGCTGAACGCGATTGCAGCGCATGTTCCCCGAGCTAGACTGCGCACTCTAAAGTCATGTTGCCGCTGGCAATGATCGGTATGCCTCGATGCAACACACAATGCAAGTCTCCATAAAAATCTAGGAACCAAATCATTAGTGTCATTAGTGCGAGCGCTTCTTCAAGAAAGCTCCCCCCACAGTGAATGGTGCATAAGTCAATGTGTTTGCTCGGATTGGGGTCTGCATTGCACCAACGGCCCGATTGAGCTACTGGCTAGGCACAACAGGCGCGTTGGCCTTGGAGCTGCAACAAGGTCTAAGGACAATGTCTGCACCAACAGTTCAAGGAACTTGGTAAACAAAAGCTGGCCAGTGAACTGGAGTGGCTGGTGGGAATAAAAAGCTTGAGTCCACCGGGGTGAACAGTGCAGCTATACAGTTGACCGGGTCAAAACAACTTGAGACTGAGATGACCTGAGTGTATGAATCTATATGAGTCTATGAGCTGATATTGTTCAGTGTCCAGAAACCCAAAACAATTTCACCTGAAATTTGTAGAAATGACGAGCCTGATGAGATGTGGTAAGGCGAGACAGGGGAGGTGAGATGACCGAGTGATAAACCAAAGTGAAAGGGGGACGCAGCAAAAAAGGTGTGTTTGGCGCCTGAGGTTCGGCAATCCCTTCGGGAATGAAGCAGCGGGGAAAAGAAATGTGAAATCCAAAGGAGAACGAAAAGAATTACACAAAAAGTATTACTGTAACTGAACGTGAAAACTGAGATTCAATGAACGGAAGCAAGAATTGATTGAGCTGGTACTGAAAACCTTTGCAGAGTTGACCCTGTTCGCAACAAGCTGACATTGTCGATCGTTCTTCTACTTGCAAAGCGAACAGTAGTCTTCAAAACAGTGCTTCCACCAAATGACAAGGCATACGTCTCTGCTTTCTGTCAAATTGATCATTTTCACAATATATTATATATCTGGATGCAGCAAGGACACGATGGAAGTAGCTGACTCGCAAAATGTTGGTCTTTCACTTTCAAAAGCCGAATGCAGTGCAACTGATTGTGATGAGACATCAATGATGAATGTGTAGAACTTATTGAGAAAATCATCAATAGCGGATAAGTTGTTTTCTAACGGATTCGGATACGCCGGTGAGTCTATGTCTATGTTCCGTTACATTAGCTCGCCTCACCAGGCACATCATCCGGTGCTCGCTGCCCCGCCTTGCAAATCCCAAAGCAAAAACGATAGGGGGTGGCCTAAGGCCCCCCCCTCACAGCCCTCCTGGTGTAAAAAATAAATTATTCTGACCACTGTCCACATAGATGTTGATTTGTGTTCCCATATGTAATTCACATTGTTGCAGAATATTTTTCAGACTTCTGTACCTGATACACCCGTCAACAGCCAGATAGGGTGTGGGTGTGGTTTGCAAAGGTATTCAAAAAAATATTCTGAATTCAAGGGTAGTACCTTAAACAAATACCTTGCTATATTATTCCATCGAACTTATTCCTGAAAATGTATTCAAACAGGTGACATGACCCCTGGAATAATCAATTAGGCCACCCCCTATCAAAAACGGCCTCAACGCGATGGCCTCCTCCACCCTAGTAACGATGGCCTCCTCCACCCTAGTAGCCATGGCTTCCTCCACCCTAGTAGCGATGGCCTCCTCCACCCTAGTAGCGATGGC